TTTCTTTTACGGTACCCTTATTACCATGTAATTACAAGGTAATAAAAATGTAATTAAATATAATTACTACCTTATTACCATGTAATTACATGGTTATTAGGGTACAATTTTACTATGTAATTTTATGCAGTAATGTAGCACTTACCTGGTAATGTATTACAATTCACTATGTAACACCTAAATAAGTAGTAGGTCATTTTGACAGTTTTAAAGTTATATTTTATTGCAATTAACCACTAACCCCAAAATTTAGTTGCATTCTTTTGGTTATAAAAATAGTGTTGTTACTATTAAATAGTCATTTGATTGTAGTTACCCAATAAAGGTAGTTTTACTAACAGTAGTTTTCTTTTGTACCGTAATTACCACGTAATTACATGTAATAAGGTAGTGATTACCATTTAATTACAATTTTTTATTACTTTGTAATTACATGGTAATAAGGGTACTGTAAAAGAAAGTGTTACCACTTAATTTTATTTAGTAACTGCAACTTAAAGAAAAATAAGTTCTGTTTACTTCTAATTTTATTTGTTTTCTGGAAGTGAAACATTTGAAAGTTGAAAATTTATGGAATAGCCCGGCTATGGACCTGTCCAGGGTGTACCTTGCCTCTTGCAGTGACTGCTGGATATGTGCACCAGCTATCCATGCATCCCAGGAAAAGGAAGAAGCAGGTAAAGATAATGGATGTAAGCGTTTGGAGTAATCTTAACGTAAACTGAGATTAAAGTGGTTTTAATATAGCAACAATCCACTAAGGTCTTGGCTTCTCAGACTGATCACTATCTTGTCAATCTGGTCAGAGTTACCCTCTTTCTCCAAAGTGAAACCGTTTAAAAAGCTTTCTACAACTGGTGAGATAACAATCACTAACTTTTTCCACAGAACCCCACTTCAAAAGATCTGATCTATTGCTTTAAAATGGAAATTTATTTTCTATCTGTATGAAGCTCCAACCCAGTTTACCTGAGCTACAGAATAAAGAGCCAGCTGAATTTTAAATACAGTTTTATATTGTATTTTTAGACAAATGTCTGCATGTCAGATGAGTGTTGTGACAGGCAGTGCCACTTCTTTTTCAACTCCTACAGTGTGTGTCAGTCAAAAGGTGCAGCGACAATACAGGAGTAAATCCTGAGAGGGGACTGAAAATATTTGAGTAAAAAGAGGAGGGGGGAAAAAAACAACAATTTTTTGCAAGGAGTAGGAAAAATATATGATATAAATGTCATTTTCAAGTATTATATTCACTTTGCTCAGTTTTTGTTCTTAACATGCAACAGATGTTTTGTTTTCACCAGCATCAAACGAAAAGGAAATATAAAGCATGACATGACACAACAAGAGCATCTTCATACAGAGCAGATGGCAGGATTGAATGTTTATAAGGCAGCTTCTTGTGAGCATGCAGAGGGTAAAAAGTGGTACCATCACCTCATGGTGCTCAGTTCGTGTGCAGGACGTGGGTGCACATTTGTGCTTATGTACCTTGTCGGTCGGTGGGATGCCCTGAATGGACATATAGGGTCTGCTGACTCTGTCTGATAGCCGCAGTCAAGGGGAGATCAGCCTGCATCACCCACTCCTGGTTGTTGCCGTTGACGACCGCCTCCGTCGGCATGGCCAGGGAGTGACGCTTGGGCACGTCTTTCGTCAGGGTGGCTAGCGACTGTTTAGCCTAAAGGAAGAGGGACAGATGTTCTGAGCAACTGCACCAACCTGGAAGGAATTCTCTGAAACCACTAATATGGGACTTTGACTTTTTACACTGCAAAAAATGTCCACCTAAGCAAGTTTTAAAGGGGCAATATCATGTAAAATCAACTTTTTTGAGTTTTATATCGTGTTATAATTGTTATACTTTCATAAAAAACATGCCCAAAGCCTTGCTCTGACTCATTCATGCATGTTTGAGAAATCCTGCAGCATTTTTAGGCAGCCATGCTGAGGAGCAAAACGACAGGTGGGGTCCAGAAACGCCTTTTGGTACCAGAAACGGCCCTGGGACGTGTCTTTAAGCCGAACTTCCTAACGGCAGAGCGCACTCTGTCCCCCTCCACACACACCCTGACAGTTAGGTTTCATTGAAAGTGAAACCTAACTGTCA